TTCTCTATTCTCATAGTTCCTTGCTGTGTCTGTCATTCTTTCCATGTAAGAAAACTTGTGATTGCAAGTAGCAACCCAGTTCAAACAGGCTTGAAGAGTCAAGAGGAATTAATTTGTTTCATGTAACTGGGAAGTCCATAAGTAGAGTGGCTGAAGTCGTTCGATCAGAATTTCAATTTCTGCTCTGCTCTGTCTCCTTATATGTTGGCTTTGTCTACACTCTGGCTCCTCTCGTGGTTGTCAGGTGATTGGTAGGTGTGAATCATACCTAGGGGGAGAAACAGACAGTAACCATTGCTAATCAAAGTCTTGAGTATTGCTCCCAGTTGGGATCACTCCCACCCACAGGGCGTGACTGCTCCAGAGTGGGGGAGGGGTAGAATGGATGTGGGGAGATAACTACAGTGTCCTCCAGGATCTTGGTGCTTACTCTCCCTGCCAAGGGAGTTTCTTTGGGTAGAAAACCAACAGCCTAGTTATTCCTTAAATAAAACCCTAACTCCCTGACCTGCGGCAGACCTGCTTGGAGCACGTGTTCCTACTTGAAGCCCACTTTTGTCTCAGAGAAGAGAATACTCAGGGGACACATAGTCCTTGGCTTTAGCAGCATAAAAGGCCATCATTTGGAAGTTGTAGAGTTGATTTGTTTCTTAGGAGGCTTTGGATGGGAGTTACAAAGAGACACATCTTAGCTATTCCCGAAAAATAGTTTATTAGAATGGACCTTTGTGATTAGAAGTTTCTGTCATTAGAGTAAGAAGTGACTTCTAGAAATGGTTGAGTGAGGCTGTGAGGCCATTTCTTATGGATGCTATAGAGACACCCATCATTGATCCTTTGTGGAAAGAGAAGGCAATAGATAGATGGATAGGAAGGAATGAAACTAAGAGATTGTGGTTTCCCAACATAATCTCGGGAACAGCTCTTTGCAAGTCCATCCTATCCTGACTCTTTCCTGTGAACTGGCTGTCACCTCCAGGGGCAGGTGCTAAAGACACCTTAGTCTTTCCTGTTTCTGCTTGACATTTTAAGATGAGTAGTGTACCTTCATATTCTGGGGAACTGATGGAATCACAACTTCCCTTTACCTCAGTTTCCTATCCTTTATAATCTTATGCCAAGTTTCAGGTCATCTTTGTTACCCGTCTTTCCACCCACCTTCATTCTCTTCTTACAGCTTCCATCTCTGCTCCTTTCCTAATGGGGCTCACTCCTACTGAGCCACCTTATTTATACCTTGACCCGGCAGGCTATCCATTTCTTTTTTCTTTTCTTTTCCTCCTCTCCCTCTCCCTCTCATCTCCTCTTTCTTTTTTCTGTTGTGCCCTGCTGTGTCCCACATCAGAGGCTGGATGTGGTGCTCCCCTCCTGCCGTGGGGCAGGGGGCTCACTCCTGTACGCAGTGCTCTCCTAATGACTTGGGACCCCACATGGGGTTCCCTTCCTGCCATGTGACCCATGGTGGGAGGCTTTCCCTAGACCCGGTGTTCCCCTAATGCAGCGGGCCTGCAGAGTCATAAGGCTGACACCATACACAGTGTTCCCCTAATAATGCTGGGCTGTGTGTCAGGAGGTCCGCGCCCTTACACGGTGTTCCCCTCCTGCCGCAGTGTTCCTGCCTGCTGGGATCTCCCATCTTGAGCAGGTGGGAGAGCCACTGAACCTGAAACCACAAGGAGAGGGTCCAAGCCGAAGTTGTACTGGTAACTGAGAAGGAAATTAGCACTTTTTTCCCACTCACATATTTTCCTCTGACTTTCCTTTGTAAAATGTCAAAAATCCATTTTACCATTTATGTTCTAAGTAAAAGACCCTCTAAAAATGCCCAAGTCAACCAGTTAATCAAGAGCAAACTTAAATCCCAAGGGTCCAGCTTTCATCTAGATAGGCTCAATTAAGTAAATTTGGTATATCTTGGGTCTTAGACTGAACAGAGGGCCTACTTATCTGGCTGCTATGGTTAACCAATATTTTAAAAGTAAACACTTGTATTTTACTCATTGTGCTAGTTGTTAGGGATCAAAAACAAGTAATATATGACCCCTATCCAAGAAGGGCTCATAGTCTAAGGGAACAGTATATGGAGATGTATAATTACAGCAAAATGGGGTGCTGTAACAGAGGTGTGAATAAGACCCTATGGGGAAAGAAAAAACAAAAAAATGAAAATAAAAACAAAACAAAAACAAAAACAAAAAGACCCTGTGGGACAAAGAGGAGGCTGTCTGCCAAGCTCTGCCTGAAGAAGTTCAGGGAAGCTCTTTCATGGCAGACCTGGTGATTGGATTGAATGAGAACTGCATTTCCTTTTGGCGTTGGAAAGTATGAGGAGGCGGCTTCTTGCTGCTCCCTGCTGTGAGTGACAAGCTCAGGTTCCCCAGGTGAATCACAAAGGATACTTGATTTCAGTCCTGAATCCTGGCCTGTTCTTCTGGTGTTATAAACTGGACTGACTACCTGCAAGGAATTCTGACTAATCCTCTCTAGAGTCAATTCAGCTTCCTTGAGAGCAGAGCAGCCCTCCCCGCATGCTTGGTCTGGTGCTGGGCGTCACAGCCCCCAGGAACTCTCTGTCTAGTTTCTGCCTTTTGCTTTTGGTGGCTTTCTCTGCGTTAGCTCTGCTATGCCATTTCAGCTAGGTCAGTGCCATTGAGACACAGGGGTGGCACTTGGAGAGAAATGGACATAATTAATCCACTTGGTGACCTATGATGACATGTGCTGCTCTGATTTCCTCTTTCAGAGGGTGTGTTGAAGAGTGAGAAAGATTTTATCCTGAAGGAGGAAAGTTTTGAGGAGCTGCAGGATCACACGGTGCTATCAAGCGGACCCCGGTGGTGTGGCATCCAGGAACTCTGGNTCCTCCCCAGCTGCCCACTCTCCCACCCCTATCCCTGCAGCGGCGCTCCGGGACTGTCGGTGTCTCAGGGAGAACTGGACCACTCTCTCCTCCGTCTTTTGCAGGGGGAGAAAGGAGGACCACAGAGACGCGGCGCCCTCCACCGTCCTAGAGAAGCCGGAGTGGCACGAATGCGGCAGCCTCCACCTCTCCGGAGCTGAGCTCTGGTCCGCGCAGAGAATGGGAGCTGGGCGTAGGGCTGCCCGGGCTGGCGCGACTTCCGGGCTCGGGGCCGCCATGCCAGGCCTGCCAGGGTCCGGAGCTTCCCTTCCCGACTTATGTCAGCCAGCGGGCGGGCCCGGCGCACGCTCAGTTCCCCGGTGGGCGGCTCGGGCCGTGGCCAGCGGGGTCCGCCTCGGCCCTGCCTTCGAGCTGCCGCCGGGACAGCCCGCGCCTGCCCGGGTGCGCCTGGTGAGTGCGGCGCCGGTGCCGTGAAACTGACAGGGCTCTAGGCCCGGATAAAGGGCGGAAAGGGGGCAGTGCGGCGACCGGGAAATTGGGGTACAGCCCAGAGTGGAGGGCCCGGAGGAACAGGCAGGGGGCAAAGTGAATTCAACACCCCTCAGAGTTGCGCCCTCAGGGGAAGCACACGTGCAGCTAGTCGGATAGGCAATGAGCCAGGTGCTGCGGCAGAGGTGTTCACAGCCCTATGCGTGGCGACGAATGTCCAGAATTTCCATGACACGGCTTTTACAAAGCTGGTTATGTTTGAGGTGGGTCTTGAGATGAACATGAGTCTGCAGGCGCACGAGGGAGGAAGGGACAGCTGCATATGCAAGGGCACAGATCTGGGCAAAAACGGGGTTCATAACAAGATGGTGATAGGATAGAGGATGAGGGTGGTGGCTCAGGAGATAATCCCTGACAGGTAAACTGGGTCCCTGACTAGTGAATGGAATTGTTTGCGGTGCGGGATTTGGACTTTTTAGGGAGGTGAACATGAGCTAGCCAAAGCCTTTGAGCCCTGGAGTGCAGGATAAGTCCCTATGGGGACTTTACAGGGGAAGGACTGATGTGAAATGGACCAGACGCGTGCCTCCATAGCATAGAGACTGCCATCCTGAATGAGGCAGTGGTTGGGAATTATAAGAAGTCTTGATGGCTCTAAGTTAGCACTGTGTGTGTTTCTTTAAAAGGAGGGTGAGAGAGAAAGGAAAGAAAAGGTGCAGGAACTTGGGCTCCCGGAAATAAAGAAAAAGGGGGCGTTGAGATTAGGATGTATGACAGAAAAATGGTGGGGGTGTTTTAGTGAGTGTGCTGGGGTGGGGGAGTGCAGGGAATGAAGTCAGAGTTTGGGCCTGTCCTGTTGAGTGTTCTGAGGAGCCCCTCCTTAGCTGCTTCTTGGGCCTGGTGTCAGTGACTTGGAGGGAGAGAAGAGTAAGGGTCCTACAAAGGGGCTGAAGGGATGGCAGGAGAGAGGACAGAAGGCAGTGGGGCATAGTAGGAAAGAGCCAGAATCATGCTCAGTTTGGTACCTTTGGGGGAAGTTAATCTCCGAGCCTCAGTTTTCTCCTCTATAAAATGGGTGGATCTCATACCCTCCTCATACACAAAGTAACATGTGAAGTGCTTGGCACAGGCTCCATAAATGCGAGTTGCTCTTGTTATCAAGGGTGATGACCTCTGAAGGAGGATACATTGTGGAGAAAGGATGGCACTGAGAGTGTAGATAGCTGTCTTGGGCAGAGGCATGAAAAAGGAAAACTTGCAGAGACTCATAAAAACGATGAGAGGATGTTTGCTGAAGTAAAGAGGAAGAAACATGAGAAAGTTGATGGCTGATCTTTTTTAATCTTTGTAAGTAAGGGGCGGAAATCTGCTGACAGTTCCTTTAGACATTAAGAATCCAGAAACTCAACCAGCACCCCTTCCTGCCCCCCCCCATACCTCTTAGTGCCTGGTCTACCCTGTACCCCAGGCCTGGGTCCTGGGATTGTCCTAGGGCATTTAAACACATGTTGTTTCAGGCGTCAGTGACCTTCGAGGATGTGGCCATCTACTTCTCTGAGAAAGAATGGACGGGCCTGGCCCCTGCTCAGAGGGCCCTGTACAGGGATGTGATGCTGGAGAATTTTGGGGCTGTGGCTTCCCTGGGTAAGGGTCTTGCCCTTTGGACTCTACCTCTGCCCTTCAGAGTTTCCTGACTCCTTCCTCAGAGGCTCAGAAGTCTTCGAGAGCCCTTGGCTGAGCGGCAACTTCAGGCTCTTGGATTCTTAGTGACCCAGCCTTAGTGATTGCTGGGAAGTGGGAAATCCTGGTATCAACTCAGGCCTCACATAGGACCTCCTTGTCCAGGGTGAGAGCTGCCCACCTCCTAACCCCTGAGCTGTGGGTACAGGGGAAGAGCGGATTCCTGGTGCCCCACTGAGCCCTCAGTTCCCCATCCCCTCAGTTTGGGAGACCTGGCCCAATACCATACACGGACAAGCAGATGTCAGAACCTGAGAGCTCTTAAGAGAGGTAGCGAGTGAGAAAGTCCAGTTCCTCAGTGAGTGAAATCGTCCATTTGCTCAAGCTGTTCTTGAGCACCTCCTACTCCGCCTATCTCCTGGCCTTTGGAAGCCTCTGGCCCCTCCCCCCGGACCTCCTGCCCCTTTTTCCTGGACTTGCTTTTCGTGTTCTCCCTAGTAATTTCCTCCTTTCACCTCCTGCCCCTGGAAACGCCGGTCTGGGAGGAACCCTGGGATTGCTCTGAGTCACCCCACTCATGGGCCTGTGCCGTTTCCTTCCCCTCAAGCGGCATTGCCATTTCCCAAACCGGCCCTGATTTCCCAGCTGGAACAAGGGGAAACACCCTGGTGCTCGGCTCCTCGGGGAGCTCCGGATGGAGAGGGCCCAAGGGACATCTCGTCAGGTGAGTGAGGACACATGTCAGGCACCTGACCAGTTCCTTTGTCTTGATATGTACATTGTAATAGGTATGTGTTCTCTTAATTTCGTGCTGTGGACACCATTGGGATTCCTTTT